TAATGGGCTTCAGTGTGTTTAGATTTGAATTTTGACAGTTGGAGTTTGTCGGAATGTTCAGGTGAGCAGAGACTTTTCAATGTAAGTCTATGGGATTTTTATGATTTTTAATATTAATTTTTAAGAAAACCATAAGTCCGATCAGTTAGAAAAGATATAGCACACCCGGTCAGATCAGTCTGAAGAGCTGGGCTGAGTTTGGAGTCTGTAGAGTTAAAGCTCTAGGAGGAGATAGAGTTGATAATTTAGGATCAGAAGAATAATAATGTTTAAATAGCATTTCAGTAAGTTGGCTTTCTCAAGCCAACTTAATAAGAAGTTTATATAGCATTTCAGTAAGTTGGCTTTCACAAGCCAACTTAATTATATCGTATCGACAGAAATTAAGAAATATATTGTGATATAAATTTTGGCCACATAGTCCAGCCCTATTTTGTAAATTTTTATACATAAGTTTGCATATGTATTTTTGTTAAGTAGCTTATTTCATAGATACATATACATATGTTAAAGGGTTAGTTCTTCCAAAAATTAAAATTCTGTCATTAATTACTCACCCTCATGTCGTTCCAAACCCGTAAGACCTTCGTTTATCTTCGGAACTATGGAAGCTACTAGAATACTTTTTGTACGCAAAGAAAACAAAAATAACGACTTTATTCAACAATTCGTCTCCTCTGCATCATCGTAGTGTCATTTTGGAGAGTATCCACTGAACGCAAACAGCGTATGCTATTCTGTGTCAGCCGCACCACACGTTTTCTACATTTATTTACGCTTTGATTTGAATGAAAACAGAGCAGCATATGCTGTCTATGGGAGGGTCAGAGAGCTCTCAGAATGCATCAAAAATATCTTAATTTATGGGTTTGTAACGACATGACGTGAGTAATTAATGACAGAATTTTCATTTTTGGGTGAACTAACCCTTTAAGACCATATGTCCATATGTCCTTTTCCCGGACATGTCCTCTTTTTGTACCTAAAAAATGTTGTCCCGCCGGGATTTCTAAATCGCCCAATGTGTTCGGGATTCGGCTTTTGCTGTCTACAGTCACCATTCATTGTGTGCGTTTTTGTATTAGAGCCCTGCACGGAACTGTTTTCTTAATCTCGCTCCCGCTGAATTTCTGACCATTACTGCCTGCAACCCTCAACGTGTGTGTTCCCATGATTTTGCCAGCAGCCATATCGCCCTGCAGCCCAAGACTGGTTGCCCACTGAAGCTAAGCAGGGTTGAATCTGGTCTGTACCTGGATGGGAGACCTCCTGGGGAAAACTAGGTTGCTGCTGGAAGAGGTGTTAGTGAGGCCAGCAGGGGGTGCTCACCCTGTGGTCTGTGTGGGTCCTAATGCCTCAGTATAGTGATAGGGACACTATACTGTCAAAAAGCACTGTCCTTTGGATGAGACTTTTTAACCGAGGTCTTGACTCTCTGTGGTCATTAAAAATCCCAGGATGTCTTTAAAAAAAAAGAGTAGAGGTGTGTCCTCGGCATCCTGTGGACATATGTCCACTTTTTGGACCTAAAAAAATGCGTCCGGCCAGGATTCAGCTTTTGCTTTCTTCAGTCGCCATTCATTGTGTGCATTTTTGTATTAAAGTTCTGCGCGTAACTGTTTTCTTAATCCCGCTCCCGCTGAATTTCTGACCATTACTGCCTGCTCACGCAAACATTCTATTGCATATAATTTTCGCGCATCATATCAATATGCAGAGTATTATAAATCTCTTATGAATGAGCGCTCGCTGTTCACTTTCACTTTGGATTTGGCGATCATGCGCACTCTGTGTAAAGGGAGCACATCTTGTAAGATCAGATATCTGTCAATCTGCTGAGCAGCAAATCCTTCAGCATGGTCTCTCAGTCATCTCTCCTTACTCTCGACCCATGATCAGTTCAATCTGACTCCTGCAGCTGGTGTTGGATGCAGGGTTGCCAAGTCCAGTTTTTTTTTCCATGGAATTGGGCTACTGTTGCCATGGGTTGATTTCCCCCATGGGTTAAAGGTTTGAAATATTGCATAAATTACATTTGACTGAAATGCTTGTAACATTGAAACATTTTGCATTATACCCCATTATAATCTGTGGTAGATGTAAAGTTTTGTGAAGGATTGCCACTACAAGCCTTTTAGCTTTGTTTATGATCAATTTTGATAACAGTGACTGTAAAATATGTATATTAGGTATGGAAATGACATATTTTGAGTTTGGATTTTATATAACCCTCCTCAAACCACCCACAAACCATGACATGGTGACAAAATGACATGTTTTGAGTTTTGAGATATGGTCATTGCACTAATTTAGCCCCCCCCATCTCCAATATATATTTGTATTGTGTTTTTATTTTATATTACATATTCATGTTATCATGGCATCCGTAGTTATGGCGGAGAGTCTATGAAAGAACTTTAGTTTATGGTCTAGTAAAGATGAAAAGATCATAATTTTTTTAAGTCAAAAGTTAATATTAATACAGTAATTCAAGGGTTATTTGTTATAGTTCAGTTCATCATAAGAGATCAGAACCAGAGCCCAGCTGTGTGTTTATGAAGAGTGATGAGTCTATAGATCATTCCCAAAATATCAGGTACAACATTTCATTAACAGACAGAATTGAAATATTTGTTTCTTTGTTTTATCATGTGATTATTTTATTGCATCTGATATTTTAACATTTTCTCACACACTCTCTGTTATAGTTCAGTTCACCAAAAGAAATCAGAACCAGAGCCCAGCTGTGTGTCTATGAGGAGTGATGCTTCTTTGCTTCATCTAATTGATTTCAAGAGTGATGACTTAAGGTTTAACCTCAAGTTTAAAATTTTTTTAGTAAAAGATATGATTATAGTAATATATTTTAAATTAAACTGTCATAAATATACAACAACACTATAATAAATGTGTATAAGCAGACATCTAGGTAGGAACTGTAGTAATCTAATGACAATGAGCAGATATAGAGCACAGAGTAGATGTATTTATTTATTTATTTACCTTTATTTAAAAGGTGTTTTTTTATTTTACAGTTTGACCTTGAGCAGGTGCATTTTTAATAATGTCACAACTGTTATTAAGGTAATGAGAAAAATGTCACCAATGTCAGAGTGTTTGATTCTTGATTCAAGGTCAATCCTGCAACACAGATCAGTAACAAAACCCATCTGTAAGAAATATGACCAGTCTATGAATCAACCACAAGACAGCACGTATCCTGGTGTAAGGTAAACTGTGGGATTTTTTAATGCAGTGCATTATCACATATTACTCATTTACATCATTAATAACTGACATTTCATGAACCCTATGATATGTTCAGTGTCTCCTAACACAGAAAAAAAAGACATTTTGCTCCGTACATTTACCTCTGTAAATCATGCAATAATGTGGTATTTTAATTTTCCAGGCATGAAGTCCTCAACATTTTTAGATCAAATCTGATGAAGAAGTTTGAGTGTCTGTATGAGGGAACAGCGACGCAGGGAAACCCAACACTCCTGAATGAGATCTACACAGAGCTCTACATCACAGAGAGTGAGAGTGGAGAGATCAGTAATGAGCATGAGGTGAGACAGATTGAGACACAATCCAGGAGAGCAGCAACAGAGGACACAGCCATCAAATGCAATGACATCTTTAGAGCTTTACCTGGACAAGACAAACCCATCAGAACTGTGCTGTCAAAAGGAGTCGCTGGCATTGGAAAAACAGTCTCTGTGCAGAAGTTCATCCTGGACTGGGCTGAAGGGAAAGAGAATCAGGACGTCCAGCTCATATTTCCACTTCCTTTCAGAGAAATCAATCTGATGAAGGACAAAACACTCAGTCTTTCAGATCTTCTTCATGTCTTTTTCCCTGAAACTAAAGAAATGGAAATATCCAGTGATGAATATGAAGTGTTGTTCATCTTTGATGGTTTGGACGAATGTCGTCTTCCCTTATATTTTCAAAGAAATGAGACACTACGGGATGTAAACAAAGAGACATCAGTGGGCATGTTCATCTGAGCATTCAGGAACATCTAGCAGCTCTATATGTGCACCTCTCCTGGACAAACCACAACAGAAATGTGTTTGACCAAATCACCAAACAGAGTTTGCGGTCTAAAGAGATGGAACAGTTTCTACTCAGCTCATCAGAACATTTTTCATTATTTGAGCTGCATCAGAAAGCTGTGGATGAGGCTTTACAGAGTAAAAATGGACATCTGGATCTTTTCCTGCGGTTCCTTCTGGGTTTGTCAGTGGAGTCTCATCAGATTCTCCTACAACGAATAATGACGCTGAAAAGAAGCATCTCTGACAGCAATGAGATAACAGTTGAGTACATCAAGTGGAAGATCAGGACCATTGACTCTCCAGAGAAATCCATCAATCTGTTCCACTGTCTGAATGAACTGGGTGATCATTCACTAGTGGAGGAAATACAACAGTATCTGAAATCTGGAAATTTAAGTGAAGCCAAACTCTCTTCATCTCAGTGGGCAGCTGTAGTTTTTGTGTTGTTGACATCAGAGGAGGAACTGAATGAGTTTCGTCTTGATAAATTTGTTAAAGAAAAGAATAAACCTGAACATATGAAAGTTCTTCAGAAGTTGCTGCCTGTGATTAAAGAATCCAGATCAGTCCAGTAAGTATCAATGAGAACAATCACTTCACTGTTAAAACATTAAGAAAAAAAAGAGCCCTGTATCTTAGTAATCTTAGATAAAATAAATCTTAGTAAAATAAGTCTCTGATGTCCCCAGAGTGCATATGTGGAGCTGACGTTTGCGCATGAAGCGTTGCTATTGATTCATAAACATAAAGGGACTTTACAATTTTTTTCTGGTACATTTTCTTCGATAAGGAAACTTAACCACATTGTCCTCAGCAGCTCAGATGGAGGGAGTATATGGAGACTTCTGTGTTCGTTGGTGCAACAGAAAACACAACACTTGTATTGCATCTTTGGCGCTGACATTGTATATCTCTAGTTCCCTTTCTAACGGTCTCTCCCGGGGAAAAACTCCTGTTTTACTCTGTACTGAAGCCTGATTTGTTCACGTTTGTGTAGCTGCACAAACCATGGCGCTTTATACCATGACCACCATTAGACCACTATATAAGTCGGCTCGGAGCGCCATTTATCAGACCATTCTCCTTCAGTGATGAGGATCATCTCTTTGCTGACTCTGCAAGGAAGCCAAAGAAGTAGAAGCTGAGGGAAGAAGCTCTACCTGCTCACCACCGTCGAAGAGCCCTGGCAGAGATTTTTTCCCTGTGGCCATCCGGCGCTTAAGAGCAAGAGCAAATTTCCTAAAAGAGCAGCGTGCGTTGTTGCAAGTGTGGCTCGTGCAAGCACCCCTTGCACAAGACTGATGGGCACTGATGTCGCCTGTTTAGGCAGTGCCCACGCAGAGGCTGCATTCACTGAAGGTTCATGCTCTTATTTCGAGAGTCTCAGCCTTTCCTGTCTCCGCTCGCGGATTGCTTTTTTCCACAAAGTCGGTCTTCCCCGCTCAACTCTCCCATTTCCTTTCTCACCTAAGAGAAAGAAACAGCGAAGCAGCGGGTCTTTCTCTCTGGGTTCGAGCGGTGCCATGTCGGCTCGTACCCAGCCCTCCCGTGTCCTCTCATCTCGCCCGGTATGCTTCACACGGGAGGACCAGTGCCCCTCTTCTGTTGCGAGCGGCCTGGTCTCTTTCAGCGCTTCGGGGGAGGACGTCACTGTCGATGACATCACCGCCGACGACTCCGTGAGCCCGAAGCCCCTCCCTCTGCTCAACCCGTGAGGCCGAAGCCGGACGCTGAACTCATCCGCGTACTGTCTAAGACTGTAGAGGACTTAGGTCTTGAATGGTCAGCCTCAGAAGAGACCGCCCATGGCCTATTGGACGAGTGGTTTCTTCCGGGAAGCCATCAACAGTCCTCTCGTCAGCGGCCCACCCCGTTCTTGCCTGCAGTTCACGAAGAGCTCACTAAGACGTATCGCGCCCCCTATTCGGCCCGGGTTAACCCCTCTACAGCATCGGCTCTCACTTCCGTTGACGGCGCTGACGACAGAGGGTAAAGCAGGCTTCCCCCTCTGGAAGAGGCGGTCGCTGCCCACTAATGCCCACCATCTGCCCTTGGTTTGAAGGCCCATGCAGCGCATCCCTCCAAGCCCTGCAGGACCACCTCGGCCATTGCCAACAGAGCTTATGCAGCGGCCGGTCAGGCCGAATCGGCACTGCATAAAATGGCGGTCCTCCAAGTGTTTTAGGCCAAACTTCTCTGCAGCATGGACGAGTCAGGCCAACAGCACCAGGAGGCTTTTAAAGAGCTGCGCACAGCAACAGGCCTGGCTCTGCGTGCAACGAAATCAACGGCGCAGGTGATCAGAATGACGATGGCCAGTTTAGTTGTGTTGGAGCGCCACCTCTGGCTGAATTTGACCGAGATCAGGGACGCTGAGAAAATGGCCTTCCTCGACTCGCCAATCTCGCTGAAGGGCTTGTTCGGTCCCGTTGTGTACGGGTTCACGGAGCGTTTTTTTGAGGCTCAGAAGACGTCACAAGTGCTGCGTCACTTCCTCCCCGCGACTGCTAGTCACCAGAAGACCCCCACCACTCAGCCTGCTAAGCCAGCGCAGCCTCAGTCACAGCCGCAGCGGAAGTCCTAGCCCAGGCTTCAGCAGCGCCCCCGGACGGTGAAACGCTTTCCCTTCCCGAAGCGTCAAGGTCCCCGCCCTCGAGTAGTGCTGGACCCTGAGACTCCTAAGTCATCCTGATCCAGCAGAGAAGAAGAGGAGGGGTTCAGTTCTCGCCTCCGTCGGAACTCCCCCGAAAGCAGCTTGCTTTCACACTCCATGCCTCCAAGCACCTCTGAGCAATGGAGTTTTGCCCTCCGAGGGTCACGTCCTGCAGGTGCAGCGCGTACCCGAATGTTTTACCGCTGTGATAGCGGACCCACATACTCAAAAGAGCAATTTTCCTCTTTACACTCTCTCGCTCACTAATTCAGGCTCCCCGCCCTCCCGCAGCGAGCCTTTATTCGAAAAAATTGATCCTCTCGCATCCCGGCTATCGGCCTGGGCAGCCATACCGGACGAGTCGAGTTTGGTTCTAAACACAATTCAATGAAGCAACTCGCTTCAGTTCGCTCGCAGGCTGCCTCACTTCAGAGGTATTATTCAAACTTCTGTCTCGGACAACAAAGCTCACCATACCGGACGAGTCGAGTTTGGTTCTAAACACAATTCAATGAGGTAACTCGCTTCAGTTCGCTCGCAGGCTGCCTCACTTCAGAGGTATTATTCAAACTTCTGTCTCGGACAACAAAGCTCACGTTCTCCGACAGGAAGAGCAGACACTGCTTGCAAAACGTGCGGTGGAGATAGTACCGCCAGCGAACAGCGAGTCAGGCTTTTTCAGCCGCTACTTCCTTCTCCCAAAAAGAGATGGCGGGCTCAGACCCATTCTGGATCTCATGCATTTGAACCACTTGCTTATGCGCCGGCCATTCAAAATGTTAACTGTCAAACAGATCCACGCACACATTTGCCCCGAGGACTGGTTTCTGACAGTGGATCTGAAAGACGCGTGCTTTCACATCCACAAAACCCGCCATCACAGACCGTTCTTGAGATTCGCATTCGAGGGCGTGGTCTATCAGTATGTAGTCCTTCCGTTTGGACTGTCTCTGGCCCCGTGCACTTTTACGAAGTGCATAGACACGGCTTTTTCACCTCTGATACTAATGGTAATCCACATATTGAACTACCTCGACGATTGGCTGATTCTAGGCAGATCAGAATGGGAACTGATCGCTCACAGGACGCTGTTGCTCAGCCACTTAGAGCACCTCGGGTTGAAGATCGACCCGCAGAAGAGTCAGTTGTTTCCCAGAGAGCAGGCTGTCTTTCTGGGAGTAACTTTAGACTCTGTTCGAATGCGAGCATAGATCTCTGGACAACCCCCCACCTCTTTCAAACAGGCGTGCAGTTGGGTCTGACCTACAGAAGGAAGGTGGTTACAACGGACGCCTCCAACTCGGGTTAGGGTGCCCTGTTGGAGGGCAATCCGGCGTTCAGCTCCTGGTCAGCCCCAGAGCAACGCCTACATATCAACTGCCTAGAAATGTTGGCGGTTTTCCTAGCCCTGAAAACCTTCCTGCCGGCTTGAGGGGGCACCATGTCTTAGTCCGGTCGGACAGCATGACAGTGGTGACTTTCATCAATCACCAGGGCGGGTTCAGATCGCACTCCATTTACAGGATGGCTCGACACCTCCTTCTATGGGCACAGAAAGAATTCCTCTCGTTAAGGGCGGTTCACGTGCCGGGCAAGTTGAACTTTGGTGCAGGCATGCTGTCCAGAGGCAATGTAGCCGCAGGCGAATGGGTGCTACATCCTCAAATGGTTCTGAAAATCTGGGCTGTCTTCGGGAAGGCAGAGGTCGACCTCTTTGCCTCAGAAGACAACTCTCACTGCACAACATACTTTTCGATACAGCGAGATGCTCTGGCCCACAACTGGCCCAGTGCTCGCCTTTACGCCCCCCCCCCAATCGCCCTGATTCCTCAGGTCGTCAGGTGGGTCAGGGAGACCAAGTGCTCCCACCTTCTAGTGGCCCCGCTCTGGAGAAACCAGGCCTTGTTCCAAGAGCTAGTGCAGCTTTCAGCAGCAGCCCCGTGGCCCATTCTGCTGAGGAGGGATCTTCTCTCACAGGCGAAAGGCATGATTTGGCATCCCCGGCCAGAGCTGTGGAGCATTCATGTATGGTGCCTCGACGGGAGCCTAATTAGCTCCCAGCGAGAGTAAGCAATACCATTTTAGAGGTGAGAGTGCCGTCTACAAGACACCTTTACAGCCAAAAATGGTCTGTCTTCCTTAACTGGTGCTCTGCACATAGTCTGGACCTAGTATCATGTAACATGTCCCACGTGCTAACCTTTTTACAGGAGCTGTTGGATAAGGGGCGCGCCCCTTCCATGCTCAAAGTGTATGTGGCAGCTATCGCAGCGAACCATTCTCTCAAAGCTGGCCAATCGATCGGCAGGAACGACCTGGTCGTTAAGTTCTTGAGAGGTGCTCGGAGGCTGAACCCTCCTCGTCCTCAGACTGTGCCATCCTGGGACTTATCTATAGTCCTGTGGACCCTATGAGGGCCGCCCTTTGAGCCGCTCAGTTTGGCTGAATTGCGGTCCCTATCGCTTGAAACGGCCCTCCTCCTAGCCTTAGCATCGGTTAAGTGAGTGGCTTGCAAGCGCTTGTCAGTTAGCACAAACCAAGACATGGTTATGTTCCGAAAGTGCTCTCGACTCCGTTCAGAGCACAGCTGATCACCCTGTTGGCGCTCCCCGTTACAGATGGTGAGCAGGGCACTAACTTGCTCTGTCCAGTAAGGACACTGAGAGTGTATTTAGAGCGCTCTAGTTTAGGCAGTCAGAGCAGCTCTTTGTTTGCTTTGCAGACCGCCAGAAGGGACTGCCGGCCACAAAGCAGCTACTCTCTCGCTGGATTGTAGATGCGATAGCTATGGCTTACGCCTCAGAAAGCTTACAATGCCCTATAGGTGTGAGGGCCCACTCCACAAGGGGGATGGCCTCCTCCTGGGCATGGTCCAGCGGGATTTCTATTGGTGAGATTTGTGCGGCTGCCGGCTGGTC